GATAATATAAGTAAACTGCTAAGACTATTAAAGCGATGATGGTGATATCTTTGGTTTCCATAATTTTTTAATTTCCACTAATTATTCACAAGACAATTAAGCAGCCAACTCCAATTCAGAATAGACCTCGGTAAAAAGGGGGTTGGTCGTTGTAATAGGCTCTTGGTTTTAAAGCAGTTTCTTTAACTTTGTTGAGGTGAGGGTTAACGGTTTGCTGGACTTGATTTTCTAATTGGATGGTTTTGTTAGTAATAGGGTCTTTGACCCAATTCTTTCACTTTTCTGATATTCAGTCCTTAACGGCTGATTTGATTCCTAAGTCGACCATATTATTTGATTAATTTTTTAATTTTATTTATTTTTGTTTTTTTTCTTGTCTAGTTCCTCTTCGCTTTCTGAATCGGTGGTGATTTCTTGGATTTTCGGTTCTTCTGGTTCTTTTTCTATCTTATTAAGTGGCATTCTTCTAAGTCTACTTATTTCAGATTCCACATATCTTTTCCCTTCTCGGGCTCGTTCTTTTAAATCCCATTGTGTCCCTACTTCTTTTTTTTCCATTTGTTCGGGGTTTGGGTTATTTTGCTCTCTCTGTCCCTTCGGGCAAGAACTTCCTATCGGTCGTTCTTTCTGCTCTCTCTCTCTCTCTCTGCTATTTGCGATAAGAGAGTATAGAGACCAGTAAAGTCAATTTCAGAATAGTTTTTGGCATTCGGATCAAATAAGAGATTGATTTGTCTTAGTTGGTCATGATGCTCTTGTTGATCTTGCTGAATTTCAGTTTTTAATTCGGTGAGTTGGGTTTCTAGACTGGTAATTCTTCCTTCTGATTTCTTGGCTTCTAATTGTTCTTCATCCAGTAATTTGGCTTTGTTTTTAACTTTAGTTTGGAGTTCTTTTTTTTCTTCTTGTAAGCGAGTGATGAGTCGTTCTTTTTCATTTACTCGGTTTTTGTAAGCGGTAGTGAGACTGGTGATTTCCGCTTCTAATTCTCCTTTTTTGCGAGTTAGTTCATCAGTTTTGGTTTCATAGTCTTCGTTTTCTTCCAAGATTTCAGTGAGGGTGCGACCATTTAATTTAGTGCGAATTTCATTAATATCTTGACCTCCGATTTCATTTTTGCAGAAGTCAGCAAAGATTTGATTGACTTTTTTGACTGCTTGGATTTCTTGGGGAGAGTCTGAGCCAGTGAAGTGGGCTAAATTATTTTTCCTTTGCTGATAATAGAGATAGATGATAACTACTATTAAGGCAATTATTAGAGTGTTTTTAATCATGTTTATTTGGTTTGGTTTGGACAGTTAAGACTGAGATAAATCAGATGACCATTAGAGCATAAAGGGCATATTGGAGATAATCGAGGTTAGTTAAAAAGTTATCGTTATAAACCGGACTATCCTTTACCGGACTATTCCGATTAATTCGTGTTAAGTTTAATTCACGTTGTAAACTATTAACTTGCTGAGTGGCTTGGAATAATTTAGTGCGTAATTGGGTGATTTCATCATCACCTTGATTTAATTCACTACTGGCTTGGTCAATGGTCTCATTTAGTTCTTGTTCAACTTGGGTTCTTGATTCATGCTCCTTTCCGAAGACATGCAGACCAGCAATTCGAGCTACTAAAGAGTCATCTAATTGCTGTTTTAATTCGGTTATTTTTAGGTCTTTATCATCTTTTTGTTTTCTTAAACTTTCAATCTCGGTTTGCTTTTCTTTTAGTTGGTCAGTTAGTAAATGGTTCGGAGGAGGGGGAGGAGTCGGAATCTGAGTGATATCATCGGCGGACTTACTTCTTTTTAATTTTCTTTTTAAGTCGGAGGGTTTAATTCCTTCCTTTACTTCTGCAAGGAGTTCTTTTTGTAATTGGTCTTTGTTAGTCATGAGTTATTAATACCAAGGTAATTGGGTGAAGGAGCAGATCAGGCAGATCAGAGAACCCGGAAAAGGTTTGCGTTTTTGACAAAAGAGACATTTATCCATAATTTTTTAGGGTGGTAAAATTTTTAATACTTCTTCTTTAAGAAGTGTATTAGTTTTTTTCATTTTCTAACTTTTCAACCTTTTTTTTGAGTTCGTCCAGTTGTTTTTGCTCTTTGCCGTTCTTTTTTTCTAGTTTAGCGGTGCGTCAGTCCAGTTTTAAGGAGTAGTTAAAGAACATAGCTAACATGGAAACGATTACTCCACACAGGGCTAAACAGAGATAAAACCATTGCTGAGTTTGAGTAGTGCAATCCATTAGTTTTCATGAAAAGCTAAAAAAGTCCCCAAGGCAATGGAACTGCCAGCAAAAACCCATCCTCGATAAGGACATAATCAACAGTCTTGATTTACTCGATGACCATGGAAGACCGCATAACCGACAATTCCGATTCCAGCCATTAAAATTAAAGGTTCTTTATTCATATCATTTTTATTTTAAAAATAAGTTTGAAGAGTAAAATTATAAATTTTATCTTTTATTTCTTTAATTCCTTGGCACAACCCACAATATCAGCATGTAGATAATGACCTAAACTTTCTCCGAAATTTTTATAACTTTGGGCTAATTTTTGAACTAACTGGGCTTTATGTTCCTGACGAGCGACGGCGACTTCTCCTTTTTTACATTTACAATGATGGGCTAACTTGGTAATTTTGACTTTATCATTTACCGGATTAGCCACTTGGTCAATCAGGCAATTATAATAAGCTAGAGTATTAGATTTAGAGCGGATAGGGCGGGATTTAGTCAATGTTTTGACTGGTTTGGTTTTTACCATAGTTTTTTGGGTGGTAGGTACCACAATTACTTGTTTTTTAGTTTTAGTTGGTTTCATACTTTTTAATTTCTTTTAGTTCTCTACGAGGCTAAAACCAGGGCTGAATAAATATTATTTAACTGTGCGAATATTTAAGGGCAAAAAGGTTAAACAGGTATTGAGGAGGGTTTCCACAGTTTGATGGGCTAAAAAACCACAAAAAACTGCTAAAGCCGAACAAATAAGGAGAGTGGGAGTGGACATAGTTTTATTTAAAAATCTCGTTGAGTCTTCTAAATTGTCCTTGACCAGTATTGGCTCAATGACGAACATAGAGACCAGCAATAAAGCAGATCGAGAAGTAGATGAGGTATTTTTTGGACATAGTTTAATTATCTTACGTCTAGTATTTTGGTGTTGGGCTGCGATAGTTCGTAAAGGTAAGGCACTAAATAACCAGTGAGAATTCCCAAGGCTAAATATTTACTTTTTCCTTGCCAAAAATAAGCAATGGCTAGTAATAGGAAAATTCCTAAGGCAATCGCAATTAAGGCTTTTTGGGTATTTTGACCAATGGCAGCATTCTGCTGAATTAACTGCTTAAACTCATTAGTTTTGGTTTCGACAGTGGCTTTAATATTTTCTTCATAAAAGCCTTTTAAAGCTCCTTTTAAATTGGGTAAATAGTCTGTTCAGTTCACCATGGTTAATTAGTTTGCTCGTGGGTGCGAATATAGTGATAAACTACTAAACCAGCTACCACCGTGCCAACTAGGGCATAAGTGATAATTTTAGTGGTTTCGGAGTTATCCGGCTGAAGGGCTTGTAAACTAGTGCTTAAATTTTGGATCGTATTAACTAGTTGAGGAGTGGTTAACTGATGATTCAGGATGGTTTGATTTACCATGATTAATTGCTTGGGTTTTTGCTTGTCGTTGCTGAAACTTAGCGATATTATCAACTGAGTTAGGCGGAATTTCTGAACTTTCTTCTTCCAATTGCTCAGCATTAGAATTTAAAGGCTTATATTTTCAATACTCTTGACCCTTGATATCTTGGCGTAAATAACCAAGATAGCGGCGATTACCGACCTTGGTGATTAAGGCTCCGGCAATTTTCTTACTCTTTCAGGTTAAGATGGTTAACCGGTCAGTCAAGAAAAAATTAGGGTCTTCGGCTAAGATTTCTTGGAAAGCACTGATCACGAGGTCTTTGAGATTATTGGAATGATTGAGTTGGTTCATAAAGGCTTAAGATGAGGCTGAGAGAGAACGAAGGTTATTCGCTCTCTTTTTTGCTGAATATTTTGCTACTTACAGTTTGCAACATACCACTTTTTCAGATAAAGATACCAGCGGCGATACCAATCGCATAAAGGACAGTATAACCAGTGGCTCAGGACATTAAAGTGTTTGGATTTTGATTTTCTTCGTTATTATTAGGTCTTGTCATATTTTTTTATATTTTTTTTAGTCTTTTTTTAATTGTTTAAATACTAAGTAAGCGAGGGAAGCATAAATAGTGACTGCTCCTAAACCGAGGGCAGCTGCTCAAAATATCTTGCTCCCAACATATTCTAATTGGTCGCGGTAAATGACATTGCTTTTCTTACCAGTATGAGGTTGTTCGTATTCTTCTAAATTGATTTCTTTAGCCATATTATTTTTGTAATAGTTGTTTTAATAATTGATTTTGTTCCTGTAACAGGGCGATGATTTGGGCTTGAGTTTGATTTAATTGCTTAACTCCATTAGTTAGCGGAGTGATATCAGGGAAGAAGGACATGATTAATTTTCTTGCTGCGTACCATTAAACTCAATTTGTTTTCTTTCGCGGTCATGAGTTAAACGGATAGACTTAATATTTTTAACTTCTTGGGCTAAACCGGTAAATTGCTGGGAAGCACTAGTCTCTAACTGGGTTAATCTTTGATCTATTTTTTGCTGACCAGTTATAATTTGCTGTTGTAAACTAATCACTTGGGATAGAGCTAATTCAACCTGCTGATTGCCACCCATCGGAGGCATCGCTTGACCAGTAAATTGTTCCAGTAAGACTGGTAAACAAGAAGTCATTAATTTCATGATGATTGAAGGTGGTTGCTGAGTTTGGGCAGTAGGCTGTCCTTGAAAATTAGTTTGCGATTGATTGGCTTGTTGAAAACCATTCGGTTGATGATTCTGATTATTTGGCTGAGTATTTCAGTGCTGATTGTGGGGGTTATTCATAAAAATATTATTGAGTTGCTAAATTAAAAACAAAGTTTAAAGCATATAGTCCACCAGCAATGGAAGGCAAAGCTTTTAGATAATTATTATCTTTATCAAAGCGATTTCCATAATACCGGTAAACACATACTCCTACACAAACAACGGCGATTACCAATAGTGCTATTTGTTGCTTGTCCATCACTATTTATCTAAGGCTTTTTTGAGAGTGCTGGAAGCTTTGAAACTAACTTGATAATAAGCATAAGTTTTGCCATTTAAGGCACTTTTGATGATCCGTTGCTTTTTGTGTAAGTTTCCTAAGATTCCTAGTTTAATTATTCCTTCTTTCATCTTTTTTAAATTGCTAACTAAATCAGCAATTACTAAATCGTAGGCCTGACCTAAGTTTGACGTAGTTTCTTGGATAGTTTTAGCCATGGTTTATCCTTTTTTGGCGATTCATTTATCATACCCTCAGGCTAAACCAACT